CTGCTGTTAGATGTTCTTAATTACACGAGATGCCTAGCACCTGCCTGGGCACCTCTGTCCATCCTGCCTTTACCAAATCTCAGCACATGCAGGCTGAGGATCAGGTCAAGTACCTTGCCCTGTTCTGCTGCCTGAGGAAGGACAGCAACCCTAACCAGCCGTATACGCACTGTACAACTTGAAGAGCTGCTTCACATCTGGCCCCGTGAGCAGGTGTTCAAGAATCTCATCCAGGCCTTCCATGGCCACTCTGTTGTTCTTGGGCCAGGACTTGGTGATCACAGCAGACATGAGGCTGCCAAATTTCTGCAAATCATGACAAGAGACTCCCTCCAGGACACTAGTCTGAGACTAAAAGAAAATGAATTGAAAAGAGAGGACTTTAGAAGATTTTACTGATTTGTTTTTTAATGACACAAGTTAGCACCCAAGAGCATTTCAGAAATCTACTGAAGCTAGTTTTATAGTGCCTCAAAAATAATAATAATAATACAGAAGAGAGGTTGGGCTACCCCCTAGTAAGTGGGGAACTTAGCCTATTGGATTCTCTGGATTTCATCCCCAGTACTGCAAAAAGAAAAGAAAGAAAAAACATAAAATTTCCTAGAGTGATTCCATTTCCTTGTGGCCTGGTTTCTTATGTGAGGTGCCAGAGATTTGAAGATGCTTGCACACGCATGAACATACCCCCACAACCCCAAGTCATACACCATCTCAGCTCACTGCCAACATCTGCATTTCTCTTAGACTTGCCTGTTATTAAAAATACCAAAAACAAGATGAGGAAAACTTTTAAAACTAGAGGGCAACATTTTAAAACATGACTATTTTAAATGTATCATGTATCATTTTTACTATATCATGTATTTTATGTCCTAAGCTGTGATTCTCATAAAGACTACCCTCAAGCACCATAGACAATCCAATTCTTCTTCTGATGCTTCACCAAGAAACAAAATGCATTTCTTCTTCGGGTTCACAATTTTGCAAAAAAATTTTCAGTAGTTAGAAAAAAACACAGGGTAAACTAACAACAGATACTTTTTTGACATGAAAGGATAGAAAAATCATTAACTAGTCACACATAAAAAGTTATGAAGCAGATTTATCCCAGGTATAAAAAGGATATTTTAAAATCAAAAATCAGTTAATAAGCTGGGTGTGGTGGCACATGCTTATACTCCCAGCAACTTGTGAGGCTAAGGCAGGAGGATCACAGTTTGGAGACCTGATTCAACAACTTAGTGAGCTCTGTCTCAAAATGAAAAATAAAAAGGGCTGGGATAAAGAGATAAAGCACACATGAGTTTAATCCCCAGTACCACATACACACAAAAAAATGTTAACACATGCTACCAGTAGAACAAAATAATAGCCATTTTAATACACACAGAATAAGTATCAGACAAAACTCCAAGAACAACACAGGATGGCCAATTTTACCACTTTCACAGTCCCAGAGTTGCTATCCAGGGTAATTAGGTGGGAAAATGAAAAAAAAAAAAAGGTGTTGGGATTGAAAAGGAAGTACTATCCTCGTAGGCACATAACATAGTCATCTATATAGAAAACTCAAAGAAGACGCACTCTCCCATGTATGCCCCACTAGAGTCATCAAACAAGCCTGCAAAGTTGCAGGACACAGAGATGAGGTACAGCCCTATTTCCATATGCTAGTGATGAACAATCCAACAACAGAATTGAGAAAATAATTTTTTACAATAATAATAATAATAATAATACAGAAGAGAGGTTGGGCTACCCCCTGGTAGCTTGGCCTATTGGAGGCCCTGGGTTTCATCCCCTGTATTGCAAAAAGAAAAGAAACATAAAATACTAAATATTTCCTAGGGAATTTCCATTGTCCTGGCCTGGCTCCTTATGTGAGGTGCCAGAGGTTTGAAGATGCATACACATGCACAAACACAACCCTATAACCCCAAGTCACACACCCTCCCAGCTCATTGTCAGCTTCTGTATTTCTCTTAGACTTGCCTGTCATGAAAAATGCCAAAAACAAGATGAGGAAAACTTTACTACATCACAAGCTGCCCTCAAACACCACAGACACTCCAATTCTCCTTCTGATGCTTCACCAAGAAACAAAACAGTTTTCTTCTTTGCATTCACATTTTTGCAAAAAAATGAAAAAGTTTCAGTGATCAATAAAAAACACAGGGTGAACTAATAACAGGTACTTTTGACACTTAACAGGATAAAAGAAAACATTAATTAGCAATGAATAAAAAGCACCCCTGGGTTCCATCTCCAGTCCACACACTCAGACACAAAAACATGAATACATCATACTGATACAAAAAAGTGACACAACCATTGTAATAGATACAGAAGAAGTATCAGGCAAAACTCCAAGAACAAGACCAGGATAGCCAATTTCACTCCTTTCACAGTGCCAGAGTTGCTATCCAGGGCAATTAGGTAGGGAAAAGAAAAAAAAAAAGTATTGGGATTGTAAAGGAAGTACTAACTTACAGGCAGATAACATGGTCATCTATGTCAAAACTTCAAAGAAGGTACTCTCCCACGGATACCCCACTAGAGAAAAGAAATAAGCCTGCAAAGCTGTAGGCCACAGAGAGGAGGTGCTGCCCTGTTTCCAAGTGCTAGTGATAAACAATCCAAAAACATATTTGAGAAAACAATTTTTAAAAATATTTTTTGGGCTGGAGATGTGGCTCAAGCAGTAGCGCACTCGCCTGGCATGCGTGCGGCCCGGGTTCGATCCTCAGCACCACATACAAACAAAGTTGTTGTGTCCGCCGAATATTAAAAAATAAATATTAAAAAAAAATTCTCTCTCTCTTAAATTTTTTTTTAGTTGTAGATGGACACAATACCTTTATTTTATTTAATTTTTATGTGGTGCTGAGGATCAAACCCAGTGCCTCACAAGTGCTAGACAGGTGCTCTACCACTGTGCCACAACCCCAGCCCTGAAAAAATAATTTGTTACAATAGCAAAGGAATAAAGTACTTAGCAGTAAATTTCATAAAAGAAATGCAGACCTCACCACTTGCAAACTGCAAACTACTGTTGAAAAAACTTAAAGATCAAAATAAATGGGGAGACATTCCAGGTTCAGAAGCCATGAGATGTGACATTGTTAAGAGGTCAACACTCCCCAAAATGACTTACAGATTCAAAGCCATCCCTGTCAAAATCACAGCTGCTTTCCTTGCAAAAACTGACAAACTGATTCTAAAATTCATATGGAATCCCAAGAGATCCAGAATAGCAAACAATACAAAAAGAGGAGAACAAATCAGGAGAATTCATGCTTCTTGATTTTACGACCTACTGGAAAGAAATGGCAGTGGAGACATGGACAGATGTGAGGTGAACCCTCACAGCTGCGGCCAACAGACTTTTTGACAAGAGTGCCAAGATCACTCAAATGGTCTGGAACAGATGGATCTCCACATGCAAGAGAATGTATCTGGACCCTGACCTCATACCACATAGAAAAAGAAACTAATGTTAAGAGCTAACACTCTAGAGCTTTCAGAGGGGGTTGCTCCATGACAGAGCACTTATTAGCATATAGTCCTAGGTTAACACTCAGTGCCAAAAACAAAATAAAAACCTTTTAGAGGAAGACACAGGTAAATCTTCATGACCCAGGATTTAGCACAAGATGTCAAAATTACTAGCAACAAGAGAAAAAAAAAGACACATTGAATTTTTCCAAAAGTAAAAACCTTCCCAGGAGAGGTGGGGCACACCTGTAATCTCAGCTACTCAGGAAGCTGAGGCAGGAATATTGCAAGTTTGAGGGCAACTTTGTGAGACTGTTTCACAAAATAAAAAATAAAAAGGGCTAGAGATGTAGCTCAGTGTTAGAGCACCCCTGGTTTCAATCCCTACTACTACAAAAGAGAGAGAGAGAAAACGAAATTAAAAACTTCTGTGCTTCTAAAGAAAACACCAAGAGTGAAAACAATCCAGAGAATGGGAGAAAATGCTGGCAGATCACATATCTGACCAGAGATTTGCACCTGATTATCCAAAGAACTCTCATAAGCCACAATAAAGGAAAGACATAGAGCCCAATTAACCATTTGAGGAAGGCACTGTACTTCACCCCTTAAGTGATCTTGGCACTCTTGTCAAAAATTCTGTTGACCGCAGCTGTGAGAGTTCACCTCACATCTTTCCATGTCTCCACTGCCATTTCTTTTTAGTAGACATTTGTCCAAAGACATAGAAAACAGAAATAGCCAAAAAACATATGAGAAGGTACCTGAGGTCATAGCTATCAAAGTCACCAGAGAAACCACTCCATATCTCGAAACTGAACAGTCACAGGTCTGAGAGCACAGGCTGTGGGGGTGTGGAGAAGTCAGGTCCCTCCTAGGCTGGCAGCTGACATGGAAATGGTCCAGCCACTGTGGGAATGGGCCAGATAGTCTTTCAATCACACAGGTACCAAGTGATCCAGCCATTCTACCATAGGCGTAGAGAGTGTGAACAGCACATCCACACAAACCCATGTGTGGAGGTTCACAGCAGCAGACTGATAACAGCTATCAGTCAGGGAGAGCCCGGATGTCCACCACAGGACAAATGGAACATAAAAGCCCCCTGAGTCCATATGATGAGCAACATGTAGTCATGAAAATGGACAAAGTACTGACAGGTGCTCCAGAGTGAATGACCTTGAACACATGCTCAACGAAGCCAGGCACCCAAGGCCACAGCCTGTGTGACTTCATTCCTGAGACACCTGAGTAGTCTGTGGAGGAGGAAGGAAGATTAGGTGCTGCTGGGGAGGGGCTTGGGGCCAGCATGGTGGAGGGCAGACTCCGCAGCTGAAGGGCTGCATTTTCTTTCTGAGCTGATGAAAATGTTGCCAAGTAGACTGTGCTGGTGGTACCCACACCTGAAACACACCACTCCCCCCAAGTTTGGCTTCCAAGGGTGAGTGACAGGAGATGTGGCTACCATGTTACTAAAGCACTGAGCAAAGAACAAATGAAAGCCTTAGAAGTATTAGTTATGTAAAAAGACTAGAGCCTGTTTCCCTAGAAAAAGTGAGCTCTGCTTCTCACAACTCCACTGGCCAGCAGTGTGCAGGGCATGAAGTGTCCAGCAGGAAATACAGAAGGACCCTGGGAGCCTCAGGGGTACTGTGTGGGGAATGTGCTGGGGCAGAACCTCCTCCCACTTTGCAGAAAAAAGCTAAGTGAAACGATAGAATCTTTCCCCTCTTTTTCTGCAGTGTTGGGAATAAAACCCAGGGCCATGCTGGGCAAGTGTTCTACCCCAAAAAGAATGGACTCTATTTAACTTCAAAAGCTCCCTTCCATAGATGTTTTGTCAACCTTTGGGTCATTTCCTGCATATCTGTTGGGCAAGAGTTAACAGACCACAAACAAACCAGTGGCAACAATCACAATGGCAGTTGGAGGCGCAGCCCACCAGATCATCTGCATGATAGCTTGTGAGCGTGGCTGTGGTTTTGCACAGGGTTCTGCAACAGGAAGCCAAGTTGCATGTCAAAGAGTGGGCAGAGAGCACTGGATTGCAGCATGAGGCCCAAGCCAGGGAGGGGGCACCAAGGACCCAATCCTGGTCAGCACAGGCCTTGGAACTGGCAGGCACTTAGGGCCTGGAGCTGGCCATGTCAGCAAGCATCTGTGAACCCAAGCATGTTTCCCAAGGAGATTACTCACATGGCAGGCAGAGCTCACAGCTTTGATGACACACTTCTCAAAGCTCTTGGCCACACTGTCCTTGAGGCCAGCGGCATCCCAGTGAGGGCTACAGAAGGCAGAGATCTGGGAATGGGGCCTCTCCTGCAAACACAGAGGTGGGTGGGGGTGTAAGTGCCTGGTTGTTCTGACTCCCCTCCTCCCTGTCCTACACTAAGCATGTCCTCCCTGCCCCTCACTAGAAGATTAAAGATGAAACCAAGTTAGTCTCTTCTCAAATTGCAAAAAAAAGCAGCCAGAATAGCAGCTTGTAAAAACATGCAAATTTTGAAAAAGAGCTATTTTTCCTTTCTTTTGTCTTCCTAAAAAATCCATTTAATCAGATCCATATAAAATACTCATGGAGAAACCAACTTTTCTGGGTCACAGACCTTCATTCAAAATGAAGGGCATTTTTTGTTTGTTTATTTCCTCCATGTCACTGTGTTTAACAAGGCTCCTGCCACCAGCAGGTCCCTTGGAGCACCTATACATGGAGGGTTTGATGACACGTATGTCTAGGGCCCCAGTAAGAGCACAATCCCATTCCCTGACTCTTTTCAAGAACGTCACACTAGAACTCTGAAATGTTTCTGAGGTCAAACTGCAAAGCCCTGATCAGAAACAAAAATGCAAAGCTTGGGTGGATCCCAGGGCCTGTACATGCTGTGCTCTGCTTGTAGCCCCAGGTGCTGCCAGCAGTCTGGGCTCATCACCATGTTGATGGTGTCCCCCATGTCTGGTACCTTATTGAGCCTCCCTTCCATGTCCCCCAGCAGCGACTCCTTCCAACCATATTCTGCAGGAAAGTTTATTTCCACCAGCCGCCGCCAGTCCTGCAAAATCCACATGTTAAGTGACAGCCACAGGGACAAGTAAACACCACAGAGATATCCTACAGAAAAGACAGCAACAACAAGGCATGGGGGCACCTGTGGTCCCAGTTGCTCAGGAGGCTGAGGCAGGGGGATCTTGAGTCCAAAGCCAGCCTCAGCAACTTAGTGAGGCCCTAAGCAATTCAGTATGACTGTCTCTAAATAAAAAATAAAGAAAAGGGCTGGGGATGTGGCTCAGTGGTTGAGTGCCCCTGGGTCAAATTCCGAGTACAGGAAAAAAAAAAAAAAAGAAGCACTTTGCTAAAGCACTTGAAGGCAGCATCCTAACACATCTCCAAGCCCAGGTAGGCATCCTATCCACACACCATGTCTGCTGAGGACAGGCAGCATTAGGAGAACAGCAGCCTGGAGCAGGTGCCCCTAGCCACATGCCTCCATATGTCCACCTGATATCTAGATCCAGGGTCTACCTTGGGACACACAATGCATTTACTTGTCATGTCTCTTTTCTAGAGAAGTTCCCTGGCCTTATCTTTTCTGATACTGACAATTTTGAAAAGTTCAGGTCATTCTGCAGACTGTCTCTTAACCCAGTTGGCTCACGGTTTTCCCATGATTACAATGGTTTGGTTGGGACACTACTAAGCCAAGCCACGTAAAAATGTACTCAGTGTAGGTCAGGTGTGGCCAAACATCTGCACTTCCCACAGGTGCCTAGCCAAACACCTTGAGCCTGACCAAGTGGACCATGAAACCTGTTGGTGCCACCAGGGCTGACCAAGAGGTCGGTCCTTGGTTAAGGCTTATCAGCCAGATTTCTTCACTGTGAAAGTCATCTTTCCTCATCCATAAAGGCTTCTGCAATGGGACACTGGAAATCCTGTGACCTCCTGGCACCCCCACCAAGCTCAGGATTCCTGAGTGATACCTGCCTGCATCAGCTACTATACCTTGGTTACAGAGTGACAGTTTTCTATTGCAATTATTTCTTCTACATTTCTTAACTCCATTCTTCAATAGAAGAATAGAAAATTTCCTTTTTTCTCTTTTTTTTTCTGTAAGTATGTTTATCAATGAATTTTAATCCATTCCTATCACTTTGCCTTTTATGGGGCTGGGGTTGTGGCTCAGCGGTGGAGTGCTCGCCTAGCATGTGCAAGGCCCTGGGTTTGATCCTCACCACCACATAAAAATAAACAAATAAAATTAAGGTATTGTGTCCAACTACAACTGAAAAATAAATATTAAAAAAATAATAATCAAATTGTTCCAGATTCAGCTAATGTGAGCATATTCAACAGTTTTCTTAAAAAAAATTGGAATAACTTTAGACTTGCAAAAATGCTGCAGAGATATCCCAGATAATTTCTATGTTCTCTTAACCCCATTTCTGCCATCATGAACATGACCACAACTCAGTTGTCAAAAGTGAAAAGCTAGCAATGACAGACCACCATGTCAACCACAGACTTCACATGGAGTCCTCTTGGCCATCTGAGGAGGAGTCTGGATCACCACATGCCTGCAGCCTCAGCATTTCCTGACGTTCCAGCACAAGGAGCTCTTGGCCCCCCTGTGCATCTCGCACTGACTCATGGAGGTGGTTCTTCTTCCAGGAACAGCATTGTGTGGTGGGAAACGGGAGTTAGAAGACATGATTGGGCCATGTGGGGTAGAACACGCCTGAAATCCCAGCTACTCAGGAAGCTGAGGCAGAAGGGTCACAAGTTCCAGGCCATCCTGGGCAACTTAGCAAGAGTCTGCCTCAAAATAAAAAAATAAAAAGGTCTGGGAAAGTGTATTTCCACCAGCCACCACCAGTGTAGCTCAGTGATAAAGTGCTCCTGGGTCAGTCCACAGTAGAAAGAAAGAAAGAGAGAGAGAGAGAGAGAGAGAGAGAGAGAGAGAGAGAGAGAGAGAGAGAGAAAGAAAGAAGAAAGAAAGAAAGAAAGAAAGAAAGAAAGAAAGAAAGAAAGAAAGAAAGAAAGAAAGAAAGAAAGAAAGAAAGAAAGGAAGGGCATGTGGGTGTGCTCGGGTCCCAGGGCATCATTATTTCTGTAGGTGCTCATGGTCCCAGGGTGCCTTTGCCATAGGACTTTTGATGGACAGAGCTGGCAACTATCTAAAATCATGAGTTCCTGCTGCTATCTCTAGCTCCTTCCATACCACAGAGCTCTTGTCCCTCTTACTCCCTATCTCCATTTTCCTGACTTCCAACAATACCAACAGCATGTCCATCTCCCCAGACCTTGGTAACTTTACTTGTAAAACAGGAATAACAGCAGCAATCACCGCAGAGTAGATGTTTAATTAATTTCATTTTTTTAAATCATTAACTACTGCACTTAGAATCATTCTTTCTTGCTGGGCACAGTGACACATGCCTGTAATCTCAGTAGCGGAGGAGGCTGAGACAGAAGGATCATGAGTTCAAAGCCAGCCTCAGCAATGGCTAGGTGCTAAGCACTCAGTGAGACCCTGTCTCTAAATAAAACACAAAATAGGGCTGGGGATACGGCTCAGGGGTTGAGTGACACTGAGTTCAATCCCTGGTACTAAAAAAAAATCTTTCTTGTCAGTGGCTACACAGCTACCCGTCTCTCATGCTTAACACCTGGGGATTATACTACTTAGAATCCTGGAATAATATTTAATAATCCAATTGTGTTTTCCTGGGATTTCATTCTGTTGGTATAAAACTTCACAAAGCAGTTGGAAGAGGATTTTTTTTTCCTTCATTAAAAAGAACAACCCTCTGGCCTGCAGCCACCCTTGTCCATACAGTTGGGGTACCCCTGCCTAACATCACAATGAGTCTTGCCACCAACTCTGTGTGAAGACCACAAGCAGGTTCCAGAGTCTCCCTGGAAAACTGTGGCTCAAGGGGGACAACCTTCCACTTCAAGGACAGGGAAAAGGCAACCAGTCTGGAGAGCAAGCCTGGGGTGGGCAGGACCTCCCACTCTACCTCCTCCCCCTGTAGCCCTCTAGGGACTCAGGCTCCTGGATCCCACTGGTTCTCAGCTGTCTTCTCCAGCACTGGGGTGACTATTGTGGAATCCTCCCCATGTCCTAGGTTTTGGAGGAGGAGTCCACTCTATCAAATGGCTTCACTCAGTTGCCAGCTAAAGGTGCTTCCTGTCATATTGACCTTCTGTTTCCTGTACCACACAGCTGGCTTACAGCCTCAGACCTGAAGCAGAGCCTGAAGGTCCTCCTGGCAACTCTGCCTCAGTGTGACTGCACCTCATCACACTGTACCATAGAGCCACTGACCCTCTGCAAGGTAAAGGGGGAATGTTCCTTCCTCAGAGTAGGGGCCAGGGCCTGAGGCAAGGTTCAGGATAAGCCCAGGCCTCCAGGCCAAGGCATTGTTGGTCTGGTTCTTGGTGACAGGACACAACTGTGTGACTCCCCACTCTGTTGCCTGCAGAGGCTCTGCAACCTCAGGCAAAGCTCACCTGGATCTCCTTGGGTAGGTGAAAAGGATAGTCGAACCCTTCCGGAACATTCTCTTTGCTAACACTGTGCACAGCCAGGATCTTGTGGTGGCCAGGACACCCTGGAGGAAAACTGTCAGGAAGCCCTTCTTGGCTACGGCTCCCGGGTCCTCTGCCACGTCCTGTGGGCACATGAGAGAAGTTTTACCAGCTCTACTCTGCTGCTCCCCACACCTGAGCCACCTCCTAGCTCCACGATTGTTGGAAGCCCATCTGACACAAGCACTGTCGTTTCCCCAGTACCCAGGGCTCCCATGAAAGGGGCAACATGGGAAAGGAGGGGAGAAGGTATGGGTGTTACAGGTCCCCAAGCTGACTCTGCCTCACCAAGAGCTTCCAGCAGTGGGGGTACACACAAGAGCCCTGTGCTTTCTCCAGATTGAGTGAGAAGAATGCACCCATGAGCAGAAAGCTTCCAGAGAACCCTGAACCAGTAGGTCATGCAAACTCCCAGCTCCCACTCTAGGGATGTGAAGCAGCACTCTGCTGGCCTGAAGGCCAGCCCAGTCCTCTCCCCATGGGCACTCTGCAGGGACAGCTACTGTCTGTCTCCTCCACACCTCTACCACCACACCAACAGAACTACCCCCTTTCAGGTGACCCAACACTCCGGAGTCCTCTCTCTCTTTGCACTCCAGAGGTACCTGCCATGGAGCACATGCAACTCCAGAGGCCCTGAAGGCTGCACAGTGTGTGCTCTTACAGAGCTCCACAAAACCTGGGTCTGTTGACTCCTTCCCTCCTTGAGGCTCACAGAACCACCCTGGGGCCTCCATCTTGGCAAAGTGACAAGGTGGATGGCAGACGCCATTCCTGCTATAAGGAACCAACTAGAGTGGGAAAGATGACCCATTCAGACAGCAGGAAGAGCATGGTCCTCAGCCATAGTAAGTGCCAAGGTGGAGAAACTCAAAGAGCCCAGGAGGCATACCAACAACAGGAGAAGGGACTCAGGCTCCAAGCAGGTGACCAGAGCACAGGGCACAGGTAAGAGCAGGGCAGGACAGCACTGAGGTTTCTCAAAGGAAAATGAAACAGGGTACCCTTGTATGATGTCCCTGAATACCTTCCAGGACAATCTGGACATCCCAGCAGGGCATTTCCCTAGTGCTAAGCCTCAGACATTCCAAATCCAAAAGCGGCCCCAGCTATACACTGACCCATCCTTGTGGAGGTTCTGTGTTTGGGATTGGGGTCCCTGATGACTTCATGGCTGTGACATGCTTGTTGCCTGGGAAAGTTTCTGTGCAAAGGCATAGGATGCCCGGTTGCTAGGGTAATGCCCTCCACGCTACAGTCTTATCAGCTTCGACCTTAATCTTAGGCACATAACTCCTGGGAATAAAGGAATTTGTTTGCTTGATAACTACAATGTTTCACCAAGCTCTGGTGCTCCTGGATCTGCCCATCTTACAGTAATATCAGACAATGGACTTTCTTGAGAGCTGCACGTAACTCCTGACATTGCATATTACAACTGTAAAATGTAACTGCAGAATAAGCAACCTTACTGATATGCTAAACAATAATGTAGTTATGGTGCTAATGACCTAATGTGACTTATTGGTATGAATAAACGTGTCTGCTGGGAAAAAGTCCACTTTGCCAACTTCCCTGCCTCTGCACCTTGTCTCTGTGTCTCCTCTTTATTATTATTTCTTTACACATCCTGGTGTCATCCAGGATTGAACAGAGGTAGTCAATAAATGAATTGCAGGAACAACCCTGAAGCTGAACAAACAGCAGGGCCCTGAACTGTGCTTTGACCTTCATGGCAGCCACCCAGCTGCTGACCACCTGACAAGAGGCTACCACATGCCCAGGCATGTCTTTGCTTTGGTCAATTTTAGCACAGCAAAATTTTGTTTTTGCAGAACAGGTAGAGTATTTCTGACCACAGATCTGGGACCCCAAAAAACAATGAGGACACTTCCTTCTGCAAAAAAGTAAACCCTAAATAACTGACAAACTTCTCAAGCACCATCTATTGGGAGCTGGCAGCAATCTGGGATAGATGAAATAGTACTACTTGGGAGAAAGCAGACACCTTATCAATGATATTCATTCTTAGCCCCTATAATCCCAGAAGGATGAGGTAGGAGGTTTCCAAATTCAAAGCCAGCCTCTGAAACTTAGCAAGGTCCTAAGAAACTTAGCAAGACACTGTCTTTAAACGAAATACAAAAAAAAAAAAAAAATGGCTGGGGATATGGCTCAGTGATTAAACATCCCTGGGTTTCAACCCTGGTACTGGGAAAAAAAAAATCATTCTTAGAGTGTGTCTGTGGTATATTAAAGAAGAAAGGCTGAAAGAATAAGATGAAAATGTAGACTTGACCATCTCCATCCCTAACATTACAGTTTTGATGTGCAAAAACGTTAAAAAAAGAATTGCCCTGAGACACCACTCTCGACTACCCACAGCAGAAGTTCAGGACCCACAATGGAAAAGCTGCTCAGCAATGCAAAACTCCTGATGCAGCTGCAGGGACGCTGCCCTGAGACATGGGTGAGAGAACAGAGTGTGAAGGCCAGGGGCAGCCGAGCTCCAGTGGCAGGAATCAGAGTGAGGTTCCCTCTGGGTATGAGGGTGAGGATGACTGCACGCTGAGGGGCACAGGGGCCTGAGCAGGGCAGCAGGACATGGGCTCTGCTGCCATGGTGTGTTGCTACATGAAGGGAAGAGTCTGGCAGGAAAGACAAGGCACAGACATGTGTTTTTTGGGGGGTAAATGGGCTCTAGTTTTCTGTGAATAATAGAATCCAGGAAAATGGAAGGGTCATCTTCTTGGCAAGGCCAGGGGCAAAGTGTGTAGTTTGCATACAATGGAACCCAGCATGTAGGAGATGCCAAAGGAATACCTGACAACTTACTATACCACTCTGTCTCATCCAGGCATCCCAGAACTCCCACATTCCCT